TGCTCAGCCTGCTTTCTTATGCAACACAGGCCCACCTTCCCAGGGGTGGCACCACCCACAGTGGGCTGGGCCCTCCCACATCACTCAACAATCAAGAAGATGCCCTTCAGACATGGCCACAGGCCAGTCCAACGGAAGCAATTCCCCAGTTGAGGCTCCCTCAACCCAGGTGTGTCAGTGACAACTAAAGCTGTCCAGCAGAACCACTGTCATCACCACCACCACCATCATCACCACCACTCTCACTACCATCATCATCACCATCATCATCACCATCCCCATCATCATCACCATCACCATCACCATCATCACCACCATCATCATCACCATTATCACCATCATCATCACCATCACCACCATCATCATCATCACCACCATCACCACCACCATCATCACCATCACTATCATCACCACCACCATCATCACCACCATCAGTATCACCATCACCATCATCATCACCACCACCATCACTATCACCATCACCATCATCACCACCACCATCATCACCACCATCAGTATCACCATCACCACCATCATCACCATCATTACCACCATCATCACCATCATCATCATCATCACCACCACCATCACCATCACCACCACCATCATCACCATCACTATCACCATCACCATCATCACCGCCATCACCACCACCATCACTATCACCATCACTATCATCACCATCACCATCATCACCACCATCATCACCATCATTACCACCATCATCACCATCATCATCACCACCACCATCACCATCACCACCACCATCATCACCATCACCATCACTATCACCATCACCATCATCACCGCCATTATCACCATCAGTACCACACCACATCACCACCACCATCATCACCACCATCAGTATCACCATCACCATCATCATCACCACCATCATCACCATCATCATCACCACCACCATCACCATCACCACCACCATCATCACCATCACCATCACTATCACCATCACCATCATCACTGCCATCACCACCACCATCATCACCATCACCATCACTATCACCATCACCATCATCACTGCCATCACCACCACCATCACTATCACCATTATCATCACCATCACCATCATCATCATCACCACTATCATTGTCATCACCACCATCATCATCACCACCATCCTTGTCATTGTCACTATTGACATTATCATAGCAAGCGAGTAGAGAACTCACAGTGTGCTAAGCAACCTGTGTCCACGCTTTTGTTCACTCTTTGCAGCCCTGTGTGGGGTTATTATCCACCTTTTACTGATAAACAGACTGAGGCTCAGGGATATTGCTAATTTGCCGACAGTTGGACAGCTAATATGTGCTGGTGGATCTGAACCTATGTAGCCGACTACACAGACAGATTTCCTGGTCCCTGTGCCCTTTTGCCTCTCATGACAATGTCACCAGATGTCTTCCTGGGTTTCAGTGTGCTTGCAGTCTCCCGAGTCACTGCTGCTCTGCTCTATAGATACAAACATCTGTGTTCAAACATGCCTGGCTCCTTTGGTAACATGCAGTACCTGTATTCAGAGGGAAGCTTTGGTAGAGTAGGAGCAGTATGAAAATGCCTAGGGCACACAACTACTCTTCCTATCTGGTCTCCCTCATTATTGCTCCCATCAGTAGAAATCCAGCTGGCATCAAGGGTGAGGTGAGACTGCATCTGGGGCCTGCTTTCCCTGACTGCTCGAATATTCTTCACCTCTCTCTGGCCTGTGCAGGGAAGACGGTGTTCTTTCAAGGAGCATCTCTGCCTGGAGTAGAGCAATCTGTCTGACAAGCCTGGGGAGCTCTGGAGCACACAGACTGCCAGACTGTCTTTAGGAGACCCAAACAAACCATCAGGGCAGTGGGAAAAAAGCCAGCCACAGCAAGCCAAACGTTTGGCTCTGTGGATGTTGAACAAGCACTCTGTGAACTCACTGTGGACACCTGTTGTAGAGTGTGACATGGCCACAATTACCAGATTATCTGTTCACTTGTTCATTTGCCTGCTTCTTTGTTTTTTCTTTTTCAAATATTTTTATGTGGGGTGTGTTTGTGAGTGCATGTTTGCGTGTGTGTAGGCACATGTGTATATGTGGGTACTTGTGCATGTGGAGGCCTGAGGTTGATATTGGGAAATCATCTTCAGTTGCTCTCTTACCTTGTTCGTTAAGGCAGGGTCTCTAAGTCAAACCTGGAACTCACTGATATAGCTAGTTTTGCTCTGGGATCCTCTGTCTCTGCCTTCCAGGGTTGAATTTCAGGCGGCCACCACACCCTTTCAGCATTTATGTGGACTCTGGGGATCTGAACTCCAGTCCTCCCTCAAGCTTGTGCAGGAGGTGCCTTAACCATTGAGCCATCTCCCCAAGCCCACATTTGTCTATTTCTTAATCTGTGAAACCCTTATTGGGCCCTGACTTGTCCAAGAAAGGAGCGTCGGGCAAATAATTTCAGCTAGACATTATTGAGTCCCTATTTTGTGCACCTCTGAAGTCCCCACTGTGTGCATCTGTGAAGCCCCTACTCTGTGCACCCATGAAGTTCTTGGTGTGGATTGCTTCCTTCCCATCTCACAATGGTGCTGTGAAGTAGGGAGTATTATCACCCCATTGCTCAGATGGAGGCATCAAGGTGCAGACAGTTCAGCCTGTTCAGGATTAACTGTGAATCCACATCTGTTTGATGGCAAAACTGGGATTGCGTAAGGTATCCTTTGCATGGTTCATGAGCTTAGAATCTGAATTGCACTCATGCAGGGTTGCGGCCCTCTCCCAGAGATGAGACCTTAGTGTAACTGGAGAGAGGGGAAAGGACGGCTGTTGAATGCTGCACCTGGAAGAGCATCACTGGCAGAGGCCAAGAGCAGATGTGGGTAGTGGTAGCTGAGTGACCATGGCACCCAAATACTACCCAGTTTTTACCCAAATGAAGCAAAATACAGATCTGAGCATGATACAAACAGTATACATGAACACAGGAAGAAATTATTTCTTCATGTAGCTGAGGATAACCTTGAACTCCTGATCCTTCTGCCTCTACCTCCCAAGGGCTGAGATCACAGGTGTGCATTACTATGCCCAATTTATGTGGTGCTGGAGATGGAACCCAGGGCTTTGTACATGCTAGGTAAACACTCTACCAACCAAGCCACATTGTAAGTCTGATGAGAAACAGTTTCTTGAGCTGTTTGGGGACGTTTCCCCGTATCTTTGCTGTACCAGTTGGGCACTACCAGTGACTTGGTGTCTTCCAAGGGCGTAGGCCATCTCTCAGCTCTAGCTTTCCCGGGACAGGCTGTTTTCTCCACATATGCCCTAAATTGAGTAGTCACGTGAGTGAGCATCAAGCTAAACAGCCTTTGTTTCAGCCACATACACAGACGCCAACCAAGGAGGTATCTGCTGTCCATATCTTGCTGAGGTTGGGCTAGCTGCCCTACAGTGGGGATTGGCAAAAATAATTTAAGATCTATCCAACATGGTGGGATATTGTAAAGCTATTAAAATGATATTTTCAAAAGCTGTCATTAATCCAGAAAGACAGTCTGCCATATAGTGTTATAACATAATACAATATGAAACACTTCATATATTCTGACTGTAATAAAAAAGTCAACATGCATTTCTGGATATCGATTTTGTTAGATGTGCTCTAGGCAACGAAGAAATGGGGATATTTGGCTTATGAGTCACGATAGACATGGTTCGTGACCTCAAGGGGTGTACTGTGGTCTAGAGGAGGAACAACTAAAACCATATGCAAAAATATAATAATGCACAGAATGCCATGCAAACTTGTGGGAGAAAGGAATCCTGCATCAGACCAGGTATCAGGAAACGTGTCTCTGTGGGAATGACATTCAAGCCAAGATGTACTTAGAGCAGACTCCTCTAACCTCTCAACTTCAGTCTCCCCAAGCCTCATTTCTCTTCCTCTCTTCCTTTGTTTCATTCTGTTTATAAAACAATAGAGTGTTTTGTTTATCCTCTCTGTTCCATGCATCAGAAGGGTCTGATGCTTTAGGGAAAAGAGTGGGGACCAGTGGAGGAGAGAATTAGAAGTGGATAGGAATGATTAGGAGAGGGCTTCCCCCTCTGATGCCACCCCGGTATGCCAATTCCTGCCCGTCACTCCCTCAAGAAGAGGTATTTAAGGAAAGGAGGTCCTTCCCTCACAATGAGTTTCCAGATGTGCAGTAAGTGACTTCTTTTGTTTATGCCCAGGGAATGTATCTGGAGCATCATAGTCTGGTGCTCACAGCTCCTCTGGTTGAAGGAGAGGAAGCACACAGCTCACACATCTCTGGAGGGCTTCCTATGTGGGGACACCAGAGCAGAAGGCATCTGTTGGCAGCACACCGCAGGGGAATGTCAGTTGCCCTTATTTCCTGTGCACTGACAGCTCTGGGTAATCTTCGGTTGAGTTACTTATGAGACAGAACTTGTGTCAATTGTAGCTCTGGTGATCACTGCAGTAGGTTAAAGACTACTGCTGGCTGGCTGGCTGGCTGGATGGCTGGATGGATGGATGGGTGGATGAGTGAGTGAGCCTGAGAGCCTCTCAAACTTGTAGAGGCTGACACACAGCCCCCTGGAAGAGTTTGGACAGGACAGGTTAGGAGTATCGTTTCTTCACTGAGGCTTAAGGGGCTGCTGCCCACAGAGTGGCCAAGGTAAGGGGGGCACAGACAGAGGAAAGTGTCTGGTTGTTGCCTAGGGCTGGTGTGTGTGTGGATGGGGGTGGGGGAAGGCTGGCAGAACAATAAAGCCTGGAGGTGGCTCTGGGTCTGACAGTCCAAGCCCATTGGGTCTAGGCAGCTGAGGTGGTCTCCAGGCTGATTTTAACTGTGTAGGTATATACTGTTGAGCCCTGGGCCACTGAATTTCTGCAGCATGTGGGGCCAATTCAAAGGAATAGCTAAGCAGCCAGCTCAGGCCTGGGAGCACATGACCCCACTGAGCTGCTGAGGCAGCAAGTGCCTGCAGGAGGAGCTGGATCCTGGTTGTAGGTCATGTTAGAGTGGGCTCTGTGTATGCATGGGTATGTGCGTGGGTAAAGAGTGTGAGTAAATGTGTGAGAGAGTGTATGTATGGACATGTGAGTGTGCATGTGTGAGAAGACATGCAGGTGTGTGTAAGTATGAGTGTGTACGTGTGTGTGTCATGTGAAGTCCATCCTTGGCTATGCTGGTGCAGGTGTTTCTCTGGAGCAGTTGTAGGGGAAATTCCTGGCATGCGCTTTAGGCAAAGGCATTAGTCTAGAGATCTCAATCTTCCCAGAAGGCTGGCTTGGTTCTCTGTATCATCTCTTCATGGCACTTGTAACTGCCATCTACCTTTCTGTGACTGCTAAGGGGCTGCCTCCTCCCCAAGACTAGAAATGCTTCCCTACACCTTCTGGGTTGAGGAGTGCCTCAAGAGCAAGGAGGAGGCTTGTTATCACACTTGCCAGCTCCCCAGGACTCAGCGTAGTGTCCAGCTCATAGGACTTACCTCGGAAGAACTTGCTGATCAAGGTCCACAGGTAATGTTAGGGTGAGGATGGTAGCTCCGTTTCCCAGGCCAACGTCTCACACTTCCTCTATCCCCCCTTTCCCCTTATTTGCATCTATGATAGTTTACTGAGCTGGGATGTCATATTTAGCAAGTTGAAGACAAGATATCTAGTTAAATTTGAGTTACAGATGAACAAAAAATATATATTTGAAATTGTGTGTGCGTGTACACACAGAGGTACATTTGCCATAACAGGCGTGTGGTGGTCAGAGAACAGCTTTTCAGAAGTTGGTTCTCACCTTCTAGCTTGCTTGAGGTAGGATCTCTCTGGTTGTTTCTTTTACTGTGCTGGGAACTTCAGGTTAGCTGTCCCGTTAGTCTCTGGCTGATTCTCCCATCTCTGTCTCCCATCTCACTGTGGGAGTGCTGGGATTACATACAGGCACCACACCATCTGACTTCTTATATGTATTCTGAGTATGAACTCAGGTTGTCAGGTTTGTATGATAAGTGCTTTTACCCACTCAGCCATTTCTCTGGCCCCAACAGCAAATATTTTGTATAAAATAGTTTATATCTGAATCTATTTTCTATCAAATCCATTCCATACTTTTTAGTATAAATATATAATCAGTGACTCTTAGAGCTGAACATGGTGACATAAGCCTATAATCTCATCACTTGGGAAACTGAGGCAGGGGAATTGTGAGTTCTACAACCAATTCTACACTTTGAATTCAGAACCAACTCCATCATAAAGACTGTCTGAACAAAATAAAACAAAACACCCAAACAACTCTCCACCCCAAAATGTTGGAATAGAAATTATTTGCTATTTATCTGACATGAAGTGGATGTCATAGTTTTTAATCTAGCAGCCCTACTTCTGAACTGAAAACATTCTCAATGCTCTTGACTGAATCTGATGGAAAGGGGGCCAGCTGTGTTCCATCCCTCTGCTTCGGTGAAATCAGCTCATTAATAACATGTGCTGACATTTTCCTGAACAGCAGGAAATGAAAGACTTCAATTGTTGGTCAGAAGTAGACGAGAGAGGCTGTGTGGTTGGGCTGCCCAGTGGAAAGGGAAACTGACAGATTGCTGACCCAGGTTTGCTGGCGTCTTTACCTGTAAGACCTTAAAATGAATCCATCCTGTTGTTCAGTGGTCACTACCCTCTGCTGACAATGCCAAACCCCATCTTGCTAAATCCCGGAAATACCTGCCAGGTAGGAGGCATTGTCTTTGCTTCCCAGGTGGCCAGGCTAGTGAATAGGGAGAGAGGCACTTGCTAAGGTCTTTAGCACAGCTGGGAAGCGGAGAATCAGGGCTGGAGCCTGGTGGTGCCTGACTGAAGCGCTGCTTGGTTACTCCTAACCCAGACTAAAGTAGCAACTGCTAAAGGAGACCTGTAGGAGGAGCTAGGAGTCCCTTGTATTAATCCCAGTGAATTCTTATTTAACTTCAATGTTATCCATCCATCCATCCATCCATCCATCCATCCATCCATCCATCCATCATGCTATGGTACTGGAGATGTCATTCATCTGTCCATCTATGGCCCATCCCACCCACCAACCCATCTGCCCATCTTTTTGTCCCACTGTATTGAGTGCCGAGGAGTTGTGATGACAGACCTATAGCCCTTGGAAAGATCCCTAGCTTACCTGCAGGGTTTACACACCCTCTTATGTCCTCATGAGCTAGACCACAAGTCCTCAGCTTGATTTCACAATTGGCGGTTTGGCCAAGACCCCGAATTGATCAGAAATTAGAGACCCTTGTATTGTTTTTCTTCCATTCAGCCGGGAATGAACAACGTGCTGGACTATGGCCTGGACCGTGTGACCAATCCAAACGAAGTTAAGGTAAACCAGGTAGGTATGTCTGCTGCATTCTCAGCAGGGCCTGGGCCAGGTTCCGAGGCTCAGAAGGTATCCACATGTCTGTGTCTGTTGGGGCAATGCTGTCGCTCCTTGGAGACTGAAGGGAGCACCGTGGCTGCCTCGTTGGTATCAGGGTCAGGGGAAGAGGACACCCTGGCCAGGGTCCTGGGTAAAGAGAGGTCACAGTCAGAGAGGATAAAGCGTGCAGGGCAGGCCAGATGGCATCTAGATGACTGGTTTTCAATATTTTCTGAGTCACTTCCCCTTTGAAAATCCAATGAACATTATGAACCATGTGTGTCATTGTTAAAGCTTGGCCTCAAAGCATAAGTGGGGACCTAGAGGGAGGGGTGTGCTAGGAAGGGAGGAAGATGGTCATGCCAAGGGGAAGAGAAAAGGGCAGTGAGCTGGTAAGGAAACCATAGGATGTGTGGAGAGGGTCTTTGAGAGCATCCCCAGAAATCATTGGCGCCCTTGTCCAAAATGACCCTTCCTTTGATACATTTAGGGCACATCAACCTGTGTCAGCTGCCATCTCCCAGCAGCCTCTTCTGTGTTTTCTTGTTAAGATAGCAGATCACTGCCAAGGCCTTGTAGGCTTGGTTGCCATGGAGACAGAATCATGGAGTAAAATACAGAACCCGGGTGGGAGAGATTTTTTTTTTTTTAAATGGATAATGCACTGCTCTGGAAACCTCTCCTGTGGAGAAGGGGGAGGTGGAGGTAGAAAGCACGTCACCGACTCTGACGTGGGTAGGTGGTGGGACTGATTGAGACTCGGCCATGTGTATGTGGGGTGTGGGGAGGTGAGACCAGGACTTTCCCTTCAGCAAAGTCAGGAAGGTGGCCATGGAGCTGTGCTGCTCTGTCCTAAGTGTGGTTGATATAACTTCTGAAGAGTGTAGGGTGGGCCAGTGCCCGTCCTCACGGAGGAAGAGTTTTCATGCTTCCTGGCCACCCAGAAGGGAAGGAGCCGTGCCTTCCAGCTTTCAAAGCCTGGTTGTACCAGCTGCTGGGCATGCTCTGAGCAGGGAAGTAGAGGGAAGACTGGGGGTGATGCAGAGCATGGGCTGTGCCTCCTCAGCTGAGTACTTTCTCTCTCTCTTTCTCTCTCATCAGCTCTCTTTTCCCTGTGTGTGTGTCTGCACACTGGCTATTGTGGAGCAGTAAGAAGAAACAGGATTCAAGCCGCCCCCCACACCCCTGGCAGTCCAGCACCCATCAGATCTCCTGTGCAGGGAGGAGCTGGGATTGGGGCCATGTACTATGGCAACATTTCCCATGACCAGGTGCCCCTATTTCCCTCTTGTCCTACTCTCAGAGGAGAGGGTCACCAAGAACTTGGAGCATCTTCCAGGAAGCCTTAAGAAGGCAGAGGTTTGATATTTGTCTCACTTCAGAGAACTCACAGTGCCAGAGTTGAAGAGCAAGTTTATTTCTGAGAATAAGTAAATTCTATCTGTTTTCTGTAAATGAAGGCCAAAAGCCCATCGAGCATGAGAACAGAGGCTGCTAGATTGACAGGTGTCCAGGGCCTTGGGTAACTGGCCCCCTCGGGCAGATGGCCATTGGTTGGTAAGACTGCCCAGCCTTTGGGGGACCTGGCCTAGGCTGGGAGTCAGGCCTAGGATATGTGTCCTTTCTCAGTTCCCATACCTTGAGGACATACAGAAATCCAAGGGTGTGTGTGTGTGTGTGTGTGTGTGTGTGTGTGTGTGTGTGCGTGCGTGTGTGTGCGTGTGTGTGTGTGTGTGTCCCACTACCACCAAAGGGCATTTGGACCTGCAAGGGGAGCACGGGTAAAGAGACTGGACAGTGGTCTGGCTGTGAGCCCTGATGTGCTCCAGGCTGACACTTCTTCATCCCCTTGACCACAGTAGAGGGGCTGTACTGCCATCCAGTGCTACTCATGACTGGATCACACTGTCACAGTGATGAAAGACAGCTAGGCAAAGAGCTAAGACCTAGGATGGAGCAGTACCACTCCTCCCCATGTGAGCATGGAAGAGCTCCTGAGCCACTTAAAAACTTCACTTTCCTCATCTGTGACATGTGTCCAACAGGACTTTTTAAGAAGATTAAGCAGGATTATTTATAGAAGTGTCTAGTACAATATGTGAGATATTCTAAGAGCAGTAGCTGTTGTTGTTATAATTTTAGGTCCCTGCATTGTGAGGGAGATTATTTATGAGGTCTTACTTTTTAATTATATCTCTTCTATTATTCAGTTTACTTATTTTAAATCAACTTTTAAAGTTAGCATGCCAAGCAGTGGGTTTCAAGATGGCGTTTTCATACATATGGACCACTACACTTTGTTCTTATTCATCTCCTCCCCCACTACTTTCCCATCTCCCTAACCCTCTCTTACTGATCCTCTTCTTCCCCCAGGTAGTGCTCCCCCTTGTGCTCTCATGTTCTTATAGACTTCTGACCCCATTTTGGGGGCACTCAACTTAATAGCCAGTTTCTCCTCTATTCTTACACCTTCCCCTGCTTCTCCACTGGAAGGGAGGTATGGTGGGGGAGCGAGAGGAGAGGCAATTTCAGTCTCTCTGCCTCTAGTTGTAGGAACAGCACAGATCATGCAGGTGGGCACATAGGTCTTTGAGAAAAAGAAATATGACTCTAGGAAATTAGATGCTGTACGCTGCTAAGCTCAATGAGTTCAGTCATTAGTGAGTAATACCCGTGTGCTCCTGTTAACAGAGACTGCTTTCTTCCTGTTATTCCCTGTCTGATGGTAGCTGGGCAGTGTGACTCTGATGTGCACTGATGGCTTGTGTGAGGCATGGAGCTAAGTGCTCCTCATCTAGTCCTGGCTCAGAGACTCACAGGTGCTGAAGGAGGAACAGAATTCTGAGACCATCCCTGTCCCCTAGTAAAGGAAGCAGACCCAAAGGGAGAGTGAGAACTCATGCACGGACACACAGCCCAGACATAGTGAAGCCTGGCTGGGAACCTCTCCAGCCGCCACCAGAGCCCACTGCCTGCTGGTCTCTGATGTCCATCATGTGGCTTTCACAAGCTCTGTTGGATTTTATTAAGCTCATTAAAGTCTTGAGATAGCATCAGTTTCATTTCTCATATGGCAAAACCAAAACAGAGAGATTTAGCCCTTTGGCAAAGGTGGCCCAGCTAGGTTTTTGTTGGGAAACCCTGCTGTTAGGGTTGTAGTCCTCCATGTCCTGATAGCTCTAAGGGGCTCGGCACCAAATGGAAGGACTCCCCTTTTCAGCAGGGGGCCTCCTGCTCTCTTCCTGGCTTACCTGGAAAGTGCCACCAAGCATGGATGCCTGACCTTATTTGGAACATGACCTTTGGCATAGTTACCTGGAGTGAAAACTACCCCCAGGTTTTTTCTATATGATATTCAGGCATTGCCTGGTAGTCGGACGATAGGAGCCCACTGCCACATGTAAATAAAGTATACTATGAGCACCTATCAGCTGAGGCTTTGGCTACTGCCTCCACACTATATTTTCCCTAGTTCTCCCACTGAATAAACGGAGCTGTTTCACTGAATCCCTGAGTTTGGAGCTGTTTGCATCGTTGAACCTGCCTCCCCGGAAGGGCTTTCTTCCGTCAGTGCTCACTGGCCGTCCTGACCCCGCTCATCGCTTCTGCTCCCCTTGTCCTCGTGGACTGGTGGCCAACGACCCGCGAGGAGAGGGAGAGGCCCCACAGGTTTTACCATTTGTATTTTTCCAGTTTATAGCTTAGCATCCCTCCTTCCACCTTCCAGGCCCAAATCCTGTAAGCAGGGCTGCCCACAGGTATAGAGGGGTGCCTGGTACTAGCACCCAAGGTTCCACTCTCCAAATGACCTTGATTTAATGCTCTATTGCTGTCTTAAAGTCCTTAGCTGTGGGGCTGGGGAGATAGCCCTGCTTTGCACACATGAGCACCCGAGTTCAATCCCTAGAACCCATGTGAAAAATCTGGGTGTGCTTGGTGGTGTGTGCTTAGAATCCCAGTACTGGTGAGGAAGAGACGAGAGGCTTCCCTGGGGCTCACTGGCCAGCCAGCCTAGCCTACTTGGCAAGCTCCAGACCAAGGGAGAGACCCCGTCTTGAAAAACAAGGTGGACAGCAGCACCTGAGGAACAACACCAGAGTTGACCTCTGACCTCCACATACATGTGCACACACACACACACACACACACACACACACACACAGAAGTTCTTACTGGCTTTGTCAGGCACTTTCATTTTACACTGAGCCTTTCAAACTGAGTAATCCCACCACTGCTGCTTAGGAAGTACCTAGTAGAACAGGTCTCTGCTTCCATGGTCACAGCCTCACATCCTGCCTCCTTGGACAGCAGCCCGCTATTTCCTTTCCTGTTTGCGTTGCACTAACATCAGTTTCTACTGGCCCTGGGTCCTCATGGTCCGTTGCCCCGACCACCCCTACTCCCACCCCCTAGCCTTTAGCCCTACCTCTATTTCTGTGACAACTCAGGCCTGGCCGCCCATCCCAAGCTCCTTCCCTGTCCTTTCTCTGGCTCCCTCTCTGCTGTCTGGCAGGGACCCCAGGGCTTCTCAGGCTTCACCCTGATCCCTCTTGCAGGTGACAATTGTCTTCAGTCTCCAAGGGCTACAGAGATGTATAAATAAGTCTAGATGTGTCCCTATTTGAGAAATCCTGAAAGAGAAAGGTAACAAGTTGTTAAGTTGTTAGAATTCCAGGAATGTAGGGCAGTCAAAGATTCTTCAGACAGAACATTCTTAGTGTGGAAAAGGGCATCACTCAGTGGGAATAAAGAAGTGACTTTGCTCTAGGACAGCCAGCCTTTGAGAGAGAAGCAGACACGCGTGCGTGAATTCTGGGGTTAAAAAAAATTGCTTCTTCCTATTTTATCACCAGGTGGTTTTCTCTGAACTGCATAGAGTTGTGTGTGGGTGTGTATATTTTTAATAAATTCACTTTAACATGATGTTTCTATGACCTTTTGGCTAAGTGATGACAATATTGATAGTAGGCTTGCAAGATTTAGCAAATAAACACACATGATTTCCAGTTAAGTTTGAATTTCAGATAAACAGTGATAATGTCTGTTAGAATAAACATGCCCTGATGTGGCTTGGTGCGGTAGTTCATCTTGTATTGAGGGCTAATACCGTACTCTGCACGTGCCATGCTTTAACAGCTGTATATTAACACTAATTGATGGTGGTTATGTATTGAGTTTCCACAACATGCCAGTTGCCTGTGTACCTTATCCCATTTAATCCCCATTTTATTTTGTTGTTTTTGGTCTTTTTGAGACAGGGTCTCCCTGTAGCCCCAACTGTCTTGGAACTCACTATGTGGACCAGACTGGCCTTGAACTCACAGAGATCTGCCTGTCTCTGCCTCCCAAGTGCTGGGATTAAAGGCGTGCACCACCACACCCAGCCCCATTTTGTTTTTATAAATAACACTCCAGAGGTTGAGATGTCAAATCACTTGTCCAAGGTCACATAGTCAATAGCATGTAGAATCAGGATTTTAACTTTCGTCTGGGCCCAAAACCCATACTTTTCCCCAAACTATTCCTCAGTTCACAGATCTCTGCCTTTTAGAAAAGCCTAGAACTCTTTCCTGACACTGCCTCATTATGCACACATTTCATTATACACACATCCCATTATGCACACAGGACATATATGTGTGTCACTCTGGAAGCAACTGATCCCATGGTCAAGTATTGGTGAAAAAAACAAAACAAAAACAAAAATGGTTCATATAGACAGCCAAGACAGAGGTGTGGATGCCTCCAGATTCAGCAGAATCCTATCACATGCTGTGTCTCCCTGACCCAGAATTCTCCCAGTCTACAACTTGGAGCACCAACATGGTGCCACAAGTAGAAAGGTTTACATCACAAAACTTTGTTTTGGCCAGGTAGGGTGGTACAGGTCTCTAATCCCAGCACTCTGGAGGCAGAGGGAGATGGACCTTTGTGAGTTAGAGGCCATCCTGGTCTAAGTAGCAAGTTTCAGGCCAACCAGGGCTACATAGTGAGACCCTGTCTCAAAAACAGAAAACATCAAAAACAGAAAACATGTCTCTTGAGAGACAGCTGAGCTATTAAGAGTACTTATTACTTTTCCAGAGGAACTTGAGTTTGGTTCCCAGGACTCACATCAGGCAGTTCACAACCACCTATAACTCCAATTCCAGGCAGTCAGACGTCCTCTTCTGGTCTCTACAGGCACTGGCATACATGTACCATTCCTGACCTCTGTAGTCATTGCACGACAGAGGTGCACTTACATACATGACACACACACACACACACACACACACAAAATAAATAAATAAAAAATAAAAAAAATGACTGCTTTATGCACAGATTATTGAAAATATCCTATAAAATTACACTCAGCCTATGTGTGGAAGGGTTAGATGAGACACAAATGGATTTGTGCATAGACTTGGTCCCATCTCCAAGATGTTTCATAGTGTATGTGTAAATGTCCAAAATCTGCCGTCTAAAGCACTGGCAGTCCCATCATTTGGAGTGACCAGTCCTTAACTCATACTCGAGTGTGTATCAGAGGCTGGACCCCCCCCAAAACTACTGATGATTCTGGAAACCAAAAGACAGATAAGAAGCTACTCCAGAGGCAGGATTCTGAAAGGGCCATAAAGGAAAGTGAATGAAATATATATATGAAAACTCTCAAGACTCAGCGGCCTTAGAAACAAAAGTATTAAGCGAAAGGACGACCACCAGAGATAGGACTGAAATGTGTGTGTGCCCCTGTCACTTCCAAGAATAGTTCCCTGTGGGGCTCAGAAAACATCAGGGGGCCACAATCCCTCGCCTTCCTTCTGTGTTTGTCCACAGAGGAGCCCTGGGCCCAGGGCATTGGTTGATAGGAAGTTTGATGTGGACCCAGGGTACTGAAGATGCTAAGATAAGATACTAAGTACTAAGATACTAGCTGCTGAGCAAAGAACCAGCTCTGGATTGGATTTCTCATCATTAGTGTGATTAAAGTGTGTTTTCTGTGTTTATGCTTCATCCCACGGTTGGGGCTCTCGTTCTCTTCATTTTAATTATAAATTAAACGGCTGGATAGTCAGTCCATTTTGAGCTTTCCTAGCTCAGGGCAGAGGAAGGACATAGTAAAGGGAGAAGGTGAGGTGGAGAGAGGTAGCAGATTTGATGTTTTTCTGTGTTTCACTATTCATTCCTTGGCTTTGTATAGAGCAGACCTGGGTTTGAATCATGGCTTAGCCAATGACTGACCAGAAGATGTTAAGAAAGGATTCATACCTACAACCTTCCAGAGCCTTGGTTTCTTCAACAGAAAATCAGTGTAATAAAATCTTCCTCTTTTAAGCTTTCTTTATAAAAGCTCAAAGAAGTATAAATTACTTTGCAGCATTTGTTAAGGAGTAGTTATGTAGTAAGAGTCCAGCTTCCCCATTGAGCAAAGGTCTTTGATTATTAGACACTATCTTAATAATCCACTTCAGCAAAACTTTAACAGAAGGATATGATTATATTAGATTTGAATGGGTCCACTCTGGCCCTTGGGTCCTTTTCTACCCAAAATGCATGCCTTTTAAAATAAAGCCTCATGTTGAAAGAGAATAGGAGCCACTGGTATGTGTGGTTGCCAAGACATCTAGATTGTTTGGTAAGTGTTTTCAAATTGTTAAGTGGAAGGTATTCTATTAAGCTTAGCAAAAGCCTTCAACTTTCCAAGCCTCTAAGCACACCAAAGTTGTCACTGATTTGATACTTGTTAAGATCTACCCTGAATCAGGCATGATTCAAAAGGGGGTGACATGGCACAGTCTTCTTGCCTTTGATGGTGCTTTGATGGTGACAGATGCATGGTAAAGAGTTACACAGATAAAATATAATTAAAAATTGTGAGGAGCCTATGAAGGAGGAGGTCAGATGTGGGAATCCCACTTGAGAAAACTTTACCTACCTCTCCATTCTAGGAAATAGATTTCCCATGAAAATAAAGTATCCCAAAGCAATCCAATAAGGCAAAATGCTACCCAGGAGGAATCAAAGAGGGGAGGCGAGTACATGACATTCCACATTGGGTCCCCTGGGTTCGTGTGACCTTGGGTCAATGGCCCAGTGGTTATTTTGCTGTGGCTAAGTGGTGACAGAGTCTTCATACTCCTGATACTATTCCTGGTGAGGATTTGGTTTAATTCAGCAGCATGGATATTAGGCAGTCAGGAATTATGAGGCTCCCCTTGAAGACTGTATCAGCACCAAGAAACCTTCAGACACAACCAAATCTAGAGAAACAGAGACCAGAATTCTCACAATGCTCAACCTTAAAGAACTGGATAGGGCAGAAAACTGACACCAAGAAAACCCGATTGCAGATCTATGTATTTCGGTTGGAGGTGGATCTCTGTCTTAACTTGGAAAGCTGATCCCTAGCATGAACTTGAACTTGCTTTGGTAGTTTCCAGGAGGAGATGGGGCCCAATATGATCTCTCCACATTGTAGTTTAACTCTGGGACTGGTGGTAGATGCTGCTTTTTAAATTGTGTGTTTTTTTTGTTTTGTTTGGAATGTGTGATGTCAGTCATGTTGTTACTAACACCTGAGAATGAATCTCACAATCCATTCAAACTTTTTGTGGTGATAAAAGAAATAAGGACACTTGAAGGGCCATCCTGGTTTCTCCATCATGGTCACCCTTCTGTATGTTAGTGTGAGGTGGTTTCCCTTCATTAAAATTATTTTTAAAAATATTTTATTTATTATTTTTATTTTATGTGTATGAGTGTATTGCCTGCATGTATGTGAGTGCACCCGTGTAGTGCAATGCTGCGGAGGTCAGAAGAGGGCTTCGGATTCCCCTGGAACTGGAGTTAAGGACGGTTCTAGCTGCTATGTGGGTGCTGGGAATCAAACCTGGGTCCTCTGCAAGAGCAGTCAGTGCTCTTAGCTGCTGAGCCATTTCTCCAGCCCCCATTTATTATTATTATTGACACATATGTGGAGGTCGGGGCACAACTTTGTCAATGTTTTCTCCTTTCACTTTTACATGGGTTCCAGGGAGCAGACTCAGGTCATCAGGTACTTTGCCTGTTGAGTCGTCTTGCCAGCCCAGGACTCTCTTATCTCCTACTTGTCCGGTGGTTCTGGTGACATTCTGGTAGATCACGGACAACCCCAAGCTTCGTCTTTAATTTTCACTTATTCTTAGGAAGTAGTATAAAGCTATAAGAGTAAATTATATTCTTTCCCTAGCCACCAATCTTTGCTGATTTTTTTCCAGTGGTTTCAGGGAGCAGGGTGGAAGTGGGAGAGATGGGGGAATTCTACCTTTGAGGTCTCAAAAGATGAGGAGTTTTCTCATGGGCAAGTGATTTTATTTTTCAAATGGGCATTTGAACTGTAATGATTTAATGGCATCGGTTTAATGGTTTTGCTTCTTTGTTTTACAGAAACAAACAATCACTGCTGTCAGAAAAGAGGTAATTAGTCTCCCAGCTCCAGCGAAGCTTGATTTCAAAATCCTCTAAGAAATTATATGTACTTTGGCTTTATGCTGTGCACTCAGTAACAGAATGAAAAACGTGTTTAGTGTTCAAACATTTGTTTCCAAATTAATGGACAGCACAGAATGACAAAGGATCGTTTGAAAAGCTTGAATAGGGCAGATGCTGAATCTTAAGATGTGAAGGAAGTGTCCCTTGAAGTCACGCATGTGAGGGATGGCCACAGAGGACTGTGGGAGTGAAGTCTACAGTGCCCACATCTTCAGCCTGTGCCTTGCTCTTACAAGTTCAGTACCATTTGGAATCTATCCAGGGTGACAAGCTGCCTGCTTTGCAGATCTATCCAGGACCTAGGATAGTGCCTTGGGAAGCTTTGGCCATTGAGGCAAATGTGTTGAAGGCTATCTGGATGGGGAGGAAGGTGGTTGAGGAGAGGCATGGCTTACATCTGCTCAAGATGCAGAACCAAGAAGACTGAAGATGTCCCCATAGTGAGGACAACTCTGTCAGCAAGGGGCATGTAAGGAAAACCCAAGGATCTAGTCCTATATCTCAGTTCAATGCTCTTTAGGATACTTTTTATTAACTTTTGCCTTTCCCAAGACCACAAATGATGGGTTAAGGAGGCCACTTACTTGGAGTTTGAGGTGTGGGTCTGAGCCCTGTTGGTTCTGAGGTCTGGCGTGAAGGAATAGAATTCACTGTTGTTATGAATAAATGGCCTCTGGTCTTGAATCCATGATGTGTGATGTCAGTGTTAGTGGTATTTAAGAGTGGAGAGTTGGACATTATATGTTACTTTTCTCATTGCTGTGATAAAAATACCTGACAAAAGAAACTTAAGGAAGGAAGGGTTTCTTCTGGATCACGGTTTTAGGAGACACGGTCCATCATGGTGGAGAAGTCATTGTGGCAGGAGCATGAGGCTGTTGGTCACATTGAATCCAGTCAGGAAGCAGAGAGAGATAAATGCTGATGCTCAGCTGGCTCTTTTTTTAATTCAGTCCATGGAGTGGTGCTTCTCACATTTAGGGTGGGTCTTCCCACTGCAATTAACCCAATCTAGAAACTTCCTCACGGGCATGTCCAGAGGTTTGTCATCTAGGTGATTCTAGATCCTGTCAAGTTGACACTATTAACTATTACAGACATCTAACAACCATCTCTCTTCCAGATCATGTATTACCAACAAGCCTTAATGAGGTCCACAGTGAAGTCTTCAGTGTCCCTTGGAGGGTATGTTTCTGGTTTCTTGGTCTTGCTAAAGCATGAGCAATGGGTAGTCAAGAAAATGTCTATTTTAAGTAAAACATGACAGGTTATGGTAGATCAACTGAAGAGACTGAAGAAGTATGTTTTGTCTAGTGTCTTGCTTCCGGTAAGGTTAGTGGTCAGGTTCTTATAAAAAAAAAAATCTTCAAAAATCTTTTATATCCACCCAAATTCCTACTTTGTAAAAAATGTCATCTCCCCTGAAAACATGTCATTGGCTGTGGCAGGTACCTGTGGTCCTTCCTCACATGTGGATATAGGCTCTGCCTCTTTTTCAGGTAACTACTTACTTGGAGAAACTTGTATTTGTCGTCTATCTCAGATTTGGAGTTCATACCGCAATTAGGGCAAAGAGTTTGAATAGCAAGTTTAAGCTTCCAACCCATGCATTATCCTGTCAGAGGTGGAATCCAATGGGGCTAGCAATCTTAGCTAGTCTGTGGCAACTTGGAGGTTCCGAGATGGGAGCCAAGTCACAGGCAAACCAAACAGGCTTCGGATGGTAAAATCTCCTGATGAAATGTGAAGATGGCATTTTTTGAACTGGGGACAGAGAATCAACAGCGGACTGGATTGGGAGATGGTGTTCTGTTTCTCAAGTTAAATAGGACAGGTCTTACCAAACACCTGTCAATCATAGGAGCTATTAGGACATTCCCCTAAGAAGGCAGTAAGAAGCATGTAACTAAGCTGGTACCAGAAAGCAAAGCAAGCTGGTCCATCAACCTATGTGTTGATTTGGTTTCCTGGTGTTGAGCTTCTAGGAAACCCTTTTCCATTTGCTTTTCAGGATTGTTAAGTACAGTGAGCAGTTCTCATCCAACGATGCCATCATGTCAGGCTGTCTCCCCAGCAATCCTTGGATAACAGATGATACCCAGTTCTGGGATTTAAATGCCAAATTGTATGTATTTGAAATGTTGGCCTTTTTAAAAATTGCTTTATTTTTTAATGTGCATGTTTATGTGTCATATACATGTATGCATGTGTGCATATTTGCGTGTGTTTGGGTCTATAAGGGCACATGTACATGTGTGTGAATGTGTAGACCTAAAGGTGATGTCAGGTGTCCTTCTTGATTGAGCTCCAATTTATTTACTGAGGCAAGGTCTATCACTGAACCCATAGCACTCCAATCCTGGGTAGTCTAGCTTGCTGGCTTGCTCTAGGGAATTTGGTCTCTGCCTACCAAGCGCTGGGATTACAGGTGGCATGTCTGCCAGGATTTTACCTGGATTCTGGGGATCTAACCTCTGGTCGTCATGCTTCTGTGACAAGTGCTTTACCCACTGAACCATCTCCTCAGCCAAATATTCATGTTTTAGTAGATGAGGATGGGGCTTTAGCTTAGTTGAAAGAGTGCTTGCCTATCATGCATGAAGCCCTGTGATTGATCCCCAGCACAGCATTAACAGGGCATGGTGGTATGCCTGTAATCCTAGCACTTGGGAGGTGGAGCAGGAGGATCAGAAGTTTGAGGTTATCCTTAGTTACATAGCAAGTTCAAGGCCAGCTTGGTGCATGTGAAACCCCGTCTCAAAAAATATTTTACTCTTTTTGAGATATAATTCATAGAGCATGCAATTTACCCTTTTAAGGTGTATAATTCAGTTTCTTATATACAAGAGGAGAACATTAAGGGTCAGGAGAGATGGCTCAGCAGTCAAGAGCATTGATTGCTCTTGCAGAGGGCCCGGGTTCGATTCCCAGCACCCACATGGTGGCTAACAACCATCTGTAACTTCAGTTCCAGGGGATCTGATGCCCTCTTCTCACCTCCATAGGCATTGAACGACACAGGTGCACTCACATACATGCAGGCAATACACTCATACACATAAAATAAAAATAATAAATAAAATATTTCAAAAAATCAAGAGGAATACATTAAATTACTACAACTGACTTTAAAAGAAATATTGTACCTTTCTCACCCCCAACTATCCCTTAGCCCCCAGCCCTAGATAACCACTAGTCAGTCTACTTTCTGTCTGTCTGTATTTGCCTACTCTAGATCATTCCATGAAATCATATAGTATGTGATCTTTTGTCTTTAGCCGTTTTTCACTTAGGGAAATACTTCCAAAGTTTATCCATCTAGTGGCATGATTGTTACTTATTTTCTAGTTATGGCTGAGTACTGTTCATGTGTGACTATAGTACATGTAAACCTATTCATATGTTGAAGGCATTTTAACTATCATGACAAATACTACTGCAAAGATTCGTATATGTTCAGGGTAAAGGGGAAGTTTGTGATGGGTGACAGGTGCCTGGCTGGTGACTGTGGCCACAGCATCCCTTGCCAGTACAGCACTGGAATTCTCTCCTGACTTAGGGGTGGCAGCCTGATTCACCAGTGGATTATTTCCAGGCTGAGCTCCTTTACCCTTAAGGGTAAAGGTGGTACTCCCCCAACTCTGGAAGGCCATGTCCTGGGTGTGAACTCCAGGGCATTTATCTGAGGCTGCATCTTCCTAGGAAGTGGCTACTTGGATTGCGTGTCTATACAGGAGTTTGGGGAGGAACAAGATTGGGATTGGGTGGAGACTCTGGCTGTGGACTCCATGAAGGTTGGTGAGGGCTGATGCCTCTCACTTCTACCCAGGCCACCACTGAGCACAGTCCCTGCCTCCCACGGGAGTGCTGCATTTACCAGGCATCCTCCTTGCAGGGTGGAAATCCCAACCAAGATGCGGGTGGAACGATGGGCCTTCAACTTCAGTGAACTGATTCGAGACCCCAAGGGTCGACAGAGCTTCCAGTACTTTCTCAAGAAAGAATTCAGTGGTGAGTCTCTCTCTCTCTCTCTCTCTCTCTCTCTCCTTCCTTCCTTCCTTCCTTCCTTCCTTCCTTCCTTCCTTCCTTCCTTCCTCAGGATCTCATGTCTCATGTAACCCAGGCTGGCCTTGAACTCTCTATATAGCTAGATGACCTTGAACTTCTGATCCTGTTGCCTCTATCTTCCACGTGTGCATGTCCACCACACCTTTAAAGGATATCCATTTTGTGTGCTATGTGTGTGTGCACCACAGTCATGCATGGAGGTCAGAGGACAGCAGGGTGGGAGTCAGTTCTCTCCTTCCACCATGTGGGTCCTGGGGATTGAACTTAAATGGTCAGACTTGGTGGTAAATGTCTCTACCCACTGAGCCATCTCATTGCCCCCACACAAGATTTTATGTGGTCCTGGAGATCAAACATAGGACTTTGTGTATGCTAGGCAAGCACTCTATCAACTATCCCTAGTCTGAGTCTTCTTTTTTTAAACTAAATTTTTGTACTTTAGCGACTCTCCCTTAATGTCCAGCCTGAGTTTTAACAGTTTCCATGCTTTGCACAGGCTTTTCAACATGGCTTCTTCCTCCTGCAGCCTTCAGAGTCTTCCCTGAGTCCAGGACCAGTTCTTTCCATAGACTTGAAGACAGCCTTACTCTGGGGGGAAAATGACATCTGCTCACAAAATCTGCATTAGCGTTATTCAGATTTGCAGGGCTCCGTCCCTTTTTGGCTAGGGTCTCTTCATTGCTCAAAGGACTCCTGTACACTCCCTTCCCCAAGTACAGCTTGAGGGGACGGGATGCAAAACAAGCAAGCTTTCCCACCTTTTCTCCCAGCCTGACTGTCTTTAGATCAATGGTTCTGAAGACTCAACCCACTTGGCCATGTCTTTAAACAGTTAGCAGGGACCCATCTCCAGGGGTGCTTTTTTAATTACTTTGGGTTGGAATCTCTGTGGTCCTGAAAGCTCCCGAGGTGGTTCTAAGTGATGAACATGGTTTAGACATACAGCCTTAAACCCCAGGCCTGGTTTCTTCAGGGCCTTCAGAGTATGTGGGCTTTAGTAGAGGGGTCCATCTCTGGGCATCTCATTATGGTGAGTGCTTGTGACTTAATTATATTGCATTTTGAGAAACATCCAGGTACATCTCAAAGCTAGATTAGAACCAATTATACATTCAACTGCTTTGCTATATTCACTGAAATATTGACTCTCATAGGATTTATTTGCCTGCTTGTGGAGTCCCCAGCCCCATGCTTGGGTTTTGAGTCCCATTTGCATATTACTCTAAACCAGCATGTTTGTGGGGCTGCTCCTGAAGAGAATTATACCAGATGTGCCTTTAGTTTGGATTACAACATGTCCAGAACATTACATTAGACATTGGATTGATGAAAATCGTGTTCTCTATTCAAGCCTAATTGCATAATAACTCAAAAAAGATGGACGGAAGAGTGTGTGTGTGTGTGTGTGTGTGTGTGTGTGTGTGTGCGCGCGCGCGCGTAGGCGCGCAATATGTGGAAATGGTGCCATCTGTGTGTGTGTGTGTGTGTGTGTGTGTGCGCGCGCGCGCGCGCGCGCGCGCGTAGGCGCGCAATATGTGGAAATGGTGCCATCTAGTGGCCTAGTGATAGACTACATGCTGTGCTTATCTCACCCACCCATTCCTTACTAATAATGAAAATTCAGAAATGATTTCCTTACATGGTTGAAACCGTATTATTGTCAGTTTCCTTAGGAGATTCCTAAGGATTCATGTATAAATTAGGTATATAAACCATCAATCTTCTTTTTTAATAAAAAGTCTTGATTGGAGTAAGACCCACAGAACATGAAAATCACCTTTTTTTTAAAAAAAGAAAAACATGGTCTCGGCCTGGAGAGATGGCTCAGCGGTTAAGAACACTGGTTGCTCTTGCAGAAGACCCAGGTTTGAGTCCCACACCCACAGGGCAGCTGACAACTGTCCATAACTCCAGGGGATTCAACAGCCTCTTCTATGTTCCGTAGGCATTCCATTACACAGGTGCACTTACCTACACACAGGCAATACACGCATACACATAAAAATAATAAATAAAATATTTTTTAAAAAATGGTCTCACATGGCCCAGGCTGACCTCAAATTCACTATGCAGCCAAGGGTAGTCTTGAAGTCCTAATCCTCTTGTGTCTGCCTCCCAAGTTCTGAGATCACAAATGTGCACAGCACAATTGGGAATATTCACTCTTCTTTAAGGTGTAAAATTTAGTGTTCTTAAAACTTTGTGATAGGATCTCTCTGTATAGCCTGGGCTAGCCTCAAATTTATGATCCTCCTGCCTCAGCCTCCTGAGTGTGGAATCATGTAAGAGGGTTTACACCACACTGGGCACAATTCGTGGTTTTTAGTATATTCATTGAATTGTACAACCATCAACACTAGCTAATTCCATGAAAACTTTCAGTACCTCTATAAGTCACTTCCCACTATATGCCCAGTATGTCACTTCCTGTTCTTTCCTTCCCTCCACTTGCTACCCACCATTCTCATCCTCTGCCTAGTCCTAGGCAATCACAAAGCGACTCTCAGTCCCTGTGGTTTTGGCTATTCTGTATGTTTTGTGTGAATGGGATCGCACAATATGTGATCCTTTCCCACTTAGCTTAATGCTTTCAACATTTGTCCATGTCATAGCAAGAGACACCCCACATTCTTTGTTACGGTTACAGCAGCTTCCACTGATGATATATCACTTTTGTTCGTCCATTCATCGCTTCATGGGAATTTGAGTTGTTTTGACCTTTGGCTGTTGTGAACATGCATGTGCTTTTATGTGTTCATTAATTAATGAATGGCGTATGTGTATGCATTCCCATGTGTGTGGGCACACAGGTGTGTGGGTGCATGTGTGCTCGAGTATGGAGATATAAGGTTGACCTGGGGAGTCTTCCTCTCTCTCCACCTTATTCATTGAGGCAGGGTCACTCAGTTGAATCCAGAGCTCACTGATACAGCTGGTCTCAGGGGATGCCCTGTCTCTATCTCCCAAGATCTGGAGTTACAGGTGAGTTTTCATGCCCATTCAGCATTCACCTGGGTTCAGGGATCTGAATTCCAGGCCTCACCCATTTGTGGCAGGTGCTTGAACTGCTGAGCTCCCCATTTACTTTTTTGGTAGTAAATACATGTAACATAAAATTCATCCTTTTAGTCACATAAGTGTACAATGGCATTGGCAATAGGCGTATTTACTTCTCCAGAACTTTGTCATCATCTCAAGCTGAAACTGTGAACCTATCAGATACTAACTTCCTATCCCTGCCATCCCCTATCTACCACCATCCTACGGCATGTCTCTATGAATCTGGCTACTTTAGTTACCGTATATAAGTGCAGTTCTATAATACCCAGTCCTTTGCATCTGGCTTATTTCACTTAACATGTCTTCACGGTTCTTGTAACATGACGTGCTGGATTCTTTGTCCTTTTTCAAACTGTATTTAACGGCAGATGCATACCACATTTTCTTAATCCATTCCTCCATCTGTGGACATTTTAAGTTGTTTTGCCTTTTGCAAATAATTGCTCACTTAGTTTTA